ACTTATTAAAATTGAAAATAAATAGATGCAAGGCTACTTCTATTTCTATTTCTTTTGTCAGCTTTAGAAAATTTTTTTGTTTGAGGAATTAGTCCATTTCTTCTAAGGTGTTAAATCTATTAGCATAAAATTATGTATAATACCCCATATTATACTTTTAAGGTCTGTGTGATCTATAATGATGACCCTGCTTTTATCTGTGAAATTAATCACAGTTCTCTCTCTCTTTATTTATCAGTTTTGATAGGGGCTTATCAATTTTATTAAACTTTTCAATAAATCAACTCCTGACCTTCCTGGTTTTGGGTAAGGTTTTTCTATTTCCTCGTTTTGTGATCTTGTTATTATTTCTATTTCTGTGTAATCAAGTTTAATTCACTCCTCTTTAGCTTCTTGAGTTAGATGTCTTCCTGTATCAGTGATTTTATACCTTTTCTGTTTTAATATGAAGATTTTTCAAAGCCCTAAATTTCTCTTTAAGTACTGCTTTATCTTCTTCCACACATTTTGATATTTTATGTTTTTATGTTTACTCAGTTTGCAGTATTTTCTAATTTCTTGTCTGATTGCTTTTTTACCCATGGGTTATTTATAATAGTTTTGCTTAATTTTCAAATTGGAGATTTCCCAGATATGTTATTTTTATTCAGTCATAATTTAAGCTGCTGTGATCGGAGAACATGTTCTGGATAACAAATAATAAAACTCCTTTGAAATTTACTGAGACTTGTTTACGACTCAGCACGCGGGCTGTGTTGGTGCTTTCATTGCTCTCATGTGACCCACTGTCACGGGTTACAGTACTCTGAAAACCAGCTCAGCCCATTTGTTGATAATCTTCAAATCTTCCATATCTTTAGTGATACTGTTTTCCTGGTTCTGTCAATTATTGAGAGAGGGATATTAAAACATCCAATTATGATTGAGGTTTTGTCTCTTTTTCATTTTAGTTCTATATTTTTTGCTTCATGTATTTTGAAACTTAATAAATACATAAGTATTTAGGATTGTTGTGTCTTCCTGATGTTTTTATTATTTTGAAATGGTGCTGATAATATTCTTTGTCTTAAAGTCTGTTCTGTCTGATAATAAATAGCACCATGTCAGGTTTGCAATGCTTAGTGTTTGACATGCTTTTTTCCATTGCATTATTTTTCTCTTGTTCATTTTACATGAAATTGGCTTTACTGAACTTTTAGGAGAAAGAGATGATTGAGGATCGCTTTTCTAGGTTCACTTCTAGCTTCACATGAACACATACCATCCGTAATTTTCTCTTCCAATGTATGTGCATTTTCTGTCTCCTTTGTCCTTGCATTTATCCTGCGCAATTTTAACTGCTCCCAGCGTTCGTCTTCTCTCAGCGCAGAGCTCTGCCCTCGGGGAGTTCCTCGTTGTTAGTACTGAGAGCTCACACAGCCCAGACTGCTCCCCGCCATTGTAACAGGTTCTTTCTTCTCTTCCATGCATTAGTGTGCGTCAGGCCCTTCCAGTTTCAGTTCCAGTCTCAGGTTGACCCTTACACTTCTCAGGAGCACCTGCTTAGGATTTGGGGGTTCTCCTGTTTCAGGGGGACCCCCTGCTGCTTCCCTCTTCCTCCCCCTGTACAGGGATGCTACTGGGCTTGTGCTGTTGGTGGTCTGTCCTACCCCATTGCGTTCTGAGGTTTGTGGGGGTGTTGGACTCTGTTTTGTATGCCTTTTATTTTACTGTGAGCTTTTATTTTACTGTCTTAGTTGCTCTCTGTCTTTGTGTGGGTAGTCATAAAAAATTCCAAAACAATTCGACTCCTGTGTCCATCTTTCAGAATTCAGCAGCTACTTTTGATTCCATTACAGAGCCTCATATTTGTACTTTTGATATTTGTAGTAAAAGAAGTGTGGTGCTGATCTTTTACAGAAAGGACCATTTAGGGACCAAGACTAGAGAGTTCTTGATTGGTGACCTGTGGAGTTGCCTTTTGTTCTGATTAGTGCATTTGCTTAGTGTTAGAACTGCTGTTCTTTTTACTGCTGGCTCTTTGTGTGCCAGGGTCATATTGAGAGGGTCTCACAGAACAGTCTGTGTAGAGAGGAAAGTCTCAGATAGGATGTCTGTCCTCTTCAGTGGTCCCATATCCCGTACGGTGGGTGGGGCCCTCCTGGTTTCTGATTTAGATAAAGGGGATAATTCAGAAAGGATGGCTGCTATCCCTACCACCCACCATCCAAATGGGTATCTTTCATGTCATAGAAGTTTGAATTAGCTGAGTGCCGCCTAATGCTGGACAGGACTATATAACTGAAAATGCCTCTGGAATACAAGGTACCTTGATAACTTGTAGAAATTACTGGCCTCTTATTTGCTTCATTATTTTTAAACAGTGCTTATTACACTTTATCCTGGGAATGAGGTGACTGAATGCATTTGGGACAGCACTCACGATCTTCAGATAAGCCTTCACTCTGTGTCGCACTCCTGGGTGACACTTGTTCCGTCACCACAGCCACTTCCACAGAAATGGCTATGGACGTAGGTTCTCTTCATGGAGAATCATGCTATTAATTGGTTTCACACTTTGGGTTTAAGTCAGTTGTAGGATACTAACTTGTCTAACAAATTGATAAGGTTTTGCACAAAGAGCGTTTTTAGGGAAAATGCCTAACTCTTATAAAGTTAATACATGTGTTGCTATTTTAGTTTGTAACTTGCAAGGTACTTTTAATCTTCATGACAACCTTGAAAAGTAGGCATAGGCTCTACTTCATAGATGAAGAAACTGGAGCTCAGAAGTCATTACTTGCTTAAAGCTATGTGGGCAATTTATGACCGAGTCAAGAGGAAATTATCCAACAGAATAATTATCACTAGTGTCAGAAGCCTCTGTGCATGCCAGTAACTCAAAAATACCTACAGGGACCTCACATGAGTGTCTGTTAATAAACCAGGTCCAATTAAATCAATTATAATGTAGAGAAAAACCTTAGGAAATATGTATTTATATTTATTTCATATGCAGTGTAAAATATGCAATATATATAATATAAAATAACATACAATATAAAATCAATTTGCATTAAAACATTCAGCAACACTTTGGGAATCCATTTTTTTCCCATGGGACTTTAAAACAATTGTTTACCATGAACTTCTGTCTTACAGATGAAAAAAGCTGAGTCAAAGTGATGTTAAATGGTTTGCTCATATAGCTTGTCCAAGAGTCAGGAGTCAATGTCCTGGGTCTCCTCTTTCTAAATCCTGCCTTCTTTCCTTTACACCGTGCTGCCTCATGGTAGAACTTTTCAAATGCAAGACAGCTGGGTGGGTGACCCAGCTGTTACAACTTAGATACGTCTGCCCCGATGGGCTGGTTTGGTCTGTAATGATCAATTTGGGGAAGCATAAATATCAGAGAAGAATAAATGGATAGTGAAAGGATTTGAGACCTAATTTTAGCTAGCAGTCCATAAATGATCTTTAGGCATATAAGGAAGGTGACTGGTTTTCCCATGGGAAGTACTGTGTATCCTTACCAGTTTCAATAAAGCATGACCGTGCCCCCTGCCACTCACCCTCCTGGCAGTCCTCAAGCCGTCAGCACGTTCTGCAGACACACTGTGTTGTCACTACCACAGCTCGTGGCAAACCGTGTCCACTTCACAGCCTGACTCTTTCTCAGGACTACTTGACTCCACTGTGTCATTTTTCCTGTTAGGCTAACTGGGGAAAAATATATAATTCCCAAGTCACGCATTTGATCAAATCAGTGCTGTCATCTCTCTTCAGAATCAACAGCTGGTACCCCTGGGAATCTTGCCGCTCAGAGCCAGCCATAAGGCACGTTTAAAAACAACGCACTAGCCACGCGTCGGCAGCCCGCAGTTGGGGGGGGGGGTTCGATTTTGTCTGTGATGCTCGGTCTCTGTTACTTTCTAAGCAGATTTACCCCACACATGTCAGTTTTTCAAAGGATTGTCTAAAGGAGATTTTTTCATTTTATTTTTTCATAGTAGGGATTTGAAATCAGCTGTAAGACAAGCTGAATATGTACACAGATATGTGTAAGTGTGTGTATGTGTGTACACATATTTTTAATCAAACAATATGGCAAAACCAAGTTGCCTTAGAAATTTTCACTTCAGGGCAAATCAGACTTCAGTTTGTGCAGCAGAAACAGTGCCGGCTCTTGGCCAAAGGGAGAAAAATGGTTGCGGGAAGGGAGGTTGCCACATCTTTCTGAAGCAGCTCTGGCCACACACAGCTGCCCAGGCTCCCTCACCGCGACGCGGTCCACTTCACTGGCCTTGGTCCCGCTCCGGGTGTCGTTCACGGGCATGCAGGGCTTCCGTTGTCATGGCTCTCCCATTTACTAGCTGCGTGCTCTTTGTCAAGTGGCCCTTGTGAAACTCTTCTGAGATTCATGCAGTTGTACGAAGCCCCATCTGGAGACTGGCCCTGCCAGCCCGCTGTCCCAGGGCCGGCTGCCCCGCTGGTATCCCCTCCGTGCCACTGCCCTGATCGCCACGGGAGCTGTGTTAGCATCTCCGGGGGCTGCTGCTGCTTTTCCACCAGCATAGGAAGCCAAATAGCACACAATCAATATCACATACATGTAGAACACGTATCAGTTTGGGGGCAAAGGGCTGACATTTCACTTGTTTAGAGTATAGAAAGAAAGTGTGTACCTACCACTTCCAACTTGCGCCAACCTGATTACAGGTTCCCTTCTGAAGTATGTCAGACACATAGTGATTAATCTTGAAAACGACTGGACCAGGGATAGTTACCAGTATACAGAGGGCTATTGTCAGCTGCTAATATCCATCTCCAGAAACTCGAACATAAAACCGTAAGACAACTATTGTTGGTGCTGAGGAGTTTGAGTCCTCTTGGTAAAATAACTGTTTGAATGAAGTTAGCATTTGGATAAAGAAAGTATTTATTTCCCATATTGGAAAGTAACCATAGCTTGTGTGTGTGTGTGTGTGTGTGGGTGGATACATGCATGTGTGCTTTGACAGCTTTTTGGAGACTACAGCCTATTTCTTCATGAGACCAAAAATCGGAGAGAAGGAGGTGTCCCCCAACGCTTTCTTCAGTATCTGGCATGAATTCAGCTCTGACTTTAAAGACTATTGGAAGAAAGAGAACAAACTTATTCTACAAGAGAGGTAAGGTTTTTTTCATTTACACAATGGTATTTTAAAACTGACCAATTAGGGGTGGCCACCTTTTATAGCCTGAATGAAAACCTAGGCCCTCAACCTGGGGTATCAAGTCTAAGACGGCACTGAGATTTGGCAGTATCTGGAGTTTGAGTAGAAGGGTCAGCACAACGACTGTGATGCTGCAAAAAGTATCTGGGGTGATGGTTTGCTGGGACCACTGTCTGTTAAAACAACCTCAGTGATGAGGAAACCACACAAAAGCAGATCATGTAATAAAGAGGAACAAAAGAACCCTGCTGAGATGACAGACCCACTCACCTCAAAAGGCTGAGAGCGAAGACCGTAAGGTAAGATGAATCAGTTTTGTTTTGTTTTTGCTCCACTCAAGGGATATTGTCAAAATTTCACCATTCATATCAAAATTTCTCCCAGGTGTCCCAAGAAACAGATGATCAATACTTTTTAAAAGATCATTCAAGAATCTTGTAGGATCATACCACATTCTAAAGTACATCTTTTCAGGAACGAAGGGAAATCTCTCCCCTCAGGTATATAGAGTCGAGTCCCTGTCACTTGACTGTGGAACTCGTAGAGACGCACTGCTGCGAAGTCAGGGAGGAAGCGGCCTGGCCCGGCAGCATCCTCAGAGAGCTGGGCCTGAGGGAGGGTGAAAAGGAAACATCGCGGACACGGTAAACCAGACCCTAACGCCAACCCAGTCAGCACCCTTGCCGGCGCGCCGGCGCGAGCACGGCTTTGCTGCAGAGCTTGGGAAACTTAGCTGTCGGGGCTTTGCTCACCACGCCACAGAGCCCCACAGTTCTCTGCTTATGGTCTTTATTGTGGTCTTGCTTACATACAAAACCATGATCACCTACCTAGTTTTCACTTCTAAGTAGGTTCTGACACATCCTTAAGTCAGTGAAATTAACGGCTGACACCCTGAGCGCGCAGAGTGCGCTGGGCTGGTGCTGCTTCATACGGTCGCTGCGATCCGAGGACGCTGTCGGAGAAGACGGTGCGCCTCAGTGAGCAGTAGGCGGGAGAAGGGCAGTCTGAACAGGAGAGCGCTTTGAACATTCACTCTAAAGATAATGAGCTTATTCTACCTCAAAATGCATCAATACGGGTTAACATAAAAGATGCGATTTTAGTCAAAATCCATGCAGCTGGGACAGCAGAGAGCATTGCTTAAACATGAGCACGTTTTGATCACTGTTCACTTATTTCCCACTTAGCTATGTAGTTCCAATTTTTTACCCAGCAATGCTCACTCCGCTTGGAAATGGTGAAGAGGAACCTTTTTTTAACCTGGGCACAGTCCCTTCCTGACCCTCACTCGTTCCCCATGTGCTTCCTTTGGTCTGTAATCTCAACCTGTGCCCCAGGTACAGGGCCTGGGGCTCAGTCACACTCAGGAACACAAGTGAAAGATCAGCCTGTCGCTTTGCACTGTGCCAGTGATCATTCTCACGATAGCTGACGTGAGTCCTAATGAGAATGGAGGGGGTGAGATTTGGGCATCGACTGCATAGGACTGATGAGGCTGTGGTCGGGGAGCTGCGGTTCTGAGAGCACCTGTGTGAGCAGGTGAATGGCAGAGGCGGCGGATCCTGTGGTCGTGGCTCCGGAGGTCCCAGCACAAGAATGCAGGTGGCTGCGCACCGCAGCCTCCCTTTACTGCGGAGCCAGAAAGTAGCGTAAACTGGTGAGAAGCCTCCTTGGAGGTGATGTGGGAACTGAGTCAGATGCACAGTCTGGACATCATCTAATCTGTGCTGCAAGAGACAGAGCTGTGTTTCTAGGTAACATGACTGAAAACAGTCCTGTATTTGATGATATTTTATCCACTGGACATGAGCAGAACTAGCTTTGCTTTGCTGTCTAAGTATTTCATAAAATCAGCCGGTTCTTTTTTAATACTTCATTCTGTGCTTGTCCTGTGCTAGAAAAATACGATGGGCTTTTTGGCTCACACTTGGTGACTGCACTTTAATTTTGGCGGTGACGTGAACTGGCAGGCTGCAAGCGCCCTCCACTGCATGCTTCTGATTTTTCTGAATCATTTGCTTTCAATAAAGGGCTAAGGAGGGACACGAGGGAGTGCTTCTTTGCCCTTTGACTTCCGAAATAGATGATGTCTCTTGGCGAATAGGCTGCTTTGAAAAGCGAAACTGTTGGTCTAAATAGTTTGCAGGAAAAGTTTGTCCCTTTCCTTAGTGGAGGACCAGCTACGCCATTTCCAGGAACAGTGCAAAATGAAAACATGTGGCCCCTTGTGCAAAAATTGTTAACAATTTCAAGATGGCAAATCGTTAAACCAAGTGCAGAGCGCTTCTGAGAGTGGGCCCTGTGTGCTGCCGCACACGCACGCCCGGGAGGCAGCCTTGCCTTGGGGCAAGCTTGGTAGCGTACATACTCTGGGGGTAAGTGGAAGGGTATTGCAGGAGCGCTCCGAGTGCCGCCGGACACCCGCAGGAGATGGGAGTGTGCTCAGCCACGGGCTTAAACCTCCGATGCACCGACGTCAGTGTGCACAGCCGCGAGCAGCACAGACGCTTAAAGTGGGGTGCTGTGCCCCAGCCCAGTCGTTCCCTCCTCTTCTCCTGTAATATGTACTATCTGCACATTTTAATAGGCAGTCCTACGCTGCCTGATGATATGTCTACTTTTGTTTTATACCATAACTTTTCCGAGGTGTGCATTTCAGTCTTTGTTCCCCCGTCACAGTGTTCCAGGTCTTCATTTTCAGAGTAGCGCTCACTGCCGCTGGGCCACAGGGCTGCCCTCTCGGTATCTCCGTGAGTATTTGCTGATTTGACTTGTTACATCATCGTATTCGACACAGATACAGAAATAGGAACTTAGGCTAGTAAAGTCATGAACATGTTTTCTTACATAACTTAAGTTTATCACTGGAGATAATAAAAACCCCACTCCAAATACCTGAAGCAAAAAGAGGGAGCATTTGTCTAGACAGTCAAACCACCGAAGGGCGGGCTGCGACATGCCTGTGGGTACCTGAAGGCAGAAACTCCAGCTGCGGTTTGTGGGGTCAGTCAGGCCGGCCTGCCCCTCTGCCTGCCTCTACCTGTCTTTTAAATGTCCTCTCCGCCTCCTCCTCCTCTTCTCCAGTCCTTCTCTCTCTCAGCCTCACTCACTCTCTCTCCCCTTTCTGTGCCCTCCCTCCAACCTGCTCTGTGGTTTAGGCTAATTTCCAAGCCAGGATTTTTCTTTAAGGGTGGACCCGTGGCCATGGGTCCCATCCGGGGCGTACACTCTTCACAGCCCAGGAGAGAGCAGTCCCAAGGAAGAACTCCAGATGAATCATGTTCATCTTTGGATCAGACACGGTGGCCAGAGGCGTGGGTACCGTGGTTAGTTCAGCAGTTCACAAACCCAGTTCTGCCGCCAGAGAGGAGGGTTCCCGTGGGTGACAAGTTTCCTTCTTGGCACTATCACTGGAGTTAGGGAAGAGCAGTTTCCCAAAGAAAGGAAACAATAATCTACCACCTCTAGTTTATTAAACCTTTAAAAATAACCTGTGTAAGTAGCAGAGGTCTTAGCACGGTAGAAATAACCCAAAAGGGAACGTCACGGTGTGGATGAAGTTTCCCCTTCCGGTCAAGTTTTCCTTGCTCTAATTCGGAATTTCTACACTGAATAATATCTTTAAGGTTGTAGATCCTCTGTAAAACTTCCTTACCCCTTAATTATTCCTAATTGGTGTTTGATTATAGTGTGGTGGTAACGTATTTTCTGGCTTTTCCTGAGGACTCATGTGATTGGGTAGATACGTTGCTTGAAGTGGTGAATTTCTATAGTCTGCTGAAAAGGTCTGCTGTCTTTCTAATCCATGGGGTGGAAAACACGAGCATTTCTGAGTTAGGTCTTCACCTCACTAGCTCTAGGCATAGAGAGTCGTAGTACCCTCGTCAGCAAAATGGAGGCAGTGGCCCTTGTCTTGCAGTGTTACTGTGTAGGCTAATGAGATGATACAGAGCACAGTGTCTACGTGCTAGATGCTCAGTGGCTGTTTCTCCATCATTTAATATAAATAACACCCTGATCATGACTACCTACAAGGCAATGTAACATACAGACAAGGCGTGTTAAGCATCTTAAGAATGTATTCTGTAAATACAAGGCATTATTGCAATTCGGTTACTTTCTTGGTTAGGTAAAATGCCTTGATTCTAAGTCCAAGGGTGAACTTTTATTTGAAAATGTTAATGTAACCTTATTTACATTATGCTATATTCCTGTATTGATGCTTTAGACAACTGACCCATTGATTTTGTCATGAGTCAGAAAAAATTTTTTTCATATACTTGCAACTAGGCTATATATAATTGGTGATAAACCCTTCTCAAAAGAAATGTAGGCTTATTACTGAGCAAAACAAAACATGAAAAATAATTTTAAAAAACATCAGCTTAATTATATCCAGAAGATGGGGACCAGCTAACAATTAACTCTGCCAAGCCTCTCCCAGGTTTCACAGAGCACAGCTTCGGTCTGTAAGGAAACAGACAGTCCTCGTCTCTCACCTGCAGGAAGACACGAGCACCACTGGCCACTAGCGTGGCCCATCGGAGCTTGGACAACAGGGCTGTGCTGCTTAGTACAGCGTGACTGCGAATAGTTGTGCTTTCCAACCCCGATGAAGGGACTGTGGTCCTGGAGAAGACAGCGGGGGCCCAGAGCAGTTTCACTTCCCACTCTTGCTCTGTTGTAGCTGAGCTCGGTGTTCAGGCGGAGTCTTCACAGAGAAGTGATTAGTGATCATTCCCTCACTCCATAGTGAGTTTCACTAGGCACAGGAGACCGTCAGGTCCACTCGACGAAGGCCCTGTGCTCCTTGAGCTAACAGCCTAGCTCTGGTGTGGTGTATCGTGCAGGGTAAGAAATGAGGGGGGATTGGTTCTTCCCAAAATTCTTCTTTTGACATGGAGCTTGGCACCAAGCAGGAGTTGCACAGGCAGCCCTGGAGGGCGCGGCAT